ATTATGTGGCTGTTTTGAATAATATAATTGGCTTCCTGCTTGAAGAAATATGCATGTCTGCATTACACTTTGTCTCTGAGTTGAAGGTACCTAAAGTCAATGATAAGAATTTTAAAAAGAGCCAGAAACAATATTTTCTGAGGCCTCCCTTGTTAAGAGAAAAAATGTGAACCTTAAATCACAGGAGTTTTTTTGGGGGTTTTTTTACTTTTCAATACAGCGTATCGTCCAGTGTTCATGTCACGGTCTGGCTGGCAGACCGTGGGGATATGGGGGAATTAGGACCCAAAACGCATGGTTCTGCGATGCAAACAGTGCACTTTATTTACAGTGAAGGCTGTAAACACAATAACTCCCCGATGCTCCCTTGAATCCCGTGTGTGTGCTCCCCTCCGACGTCTGTGCTCGTGCTCCCCGCTGTTGTGTTCTCGCACACCCTGTGCGTGCTGCCGTTCTGGTCCACTCTTCCACCTGGAGGGAAAACCACAAAAACAGCCATCAACACCAACCCCGGCGGGCATACACGAACTGCACCGTTGTACGCTGACTGACTGACTGACACACGCGCGCGCGCGCGCGCGCACACACACACACACAACACACACACACACACACACAACCCACATACCACACACCCACACACACACACACACACACACACACACTTAGGTAGACAACTCAATGATTCCGCGCCGGTGGGAGCTCCAACACTCTCCTAAGTAGCTCCCCCGACGAGCCCTGATCACCAACAGATGTGTGGCAGGAACTTCAGGTGTGGCCAGTCCTCCTGCAGGGCCACACCCATACCCTGCCTCTACATATAATGAGTAGAACACCGAACAACACAGCATAGCGCAGAAAAACACACATTCCCAAATAATAACAACAACACTAATAATAATAATAATAATAATAATAATAATAATAATAATAATAATAACGGTCCATCCTGCTCACGGACCCCCGAGTCCTCCAGAGCCGGGTCCGTGACAGTTCAGCAGTCCTCAACCTAGTCATAGCCAGAGCAATGAACATGAACACACTGTAATTTGATCAGTGCTCAGCTTTTGCTCTACACACTGTTATACTTTGCAGAAGCATTATAAAGCATGTAAAAACGTGCTTATTTTCTCTTAAAAGTGGACCTATTCTGCCTTTCCTTATTTTCTGTAATTAACATCATATACATCCAGGTGTTTGACTTCATATTAAATATGCCCCAAGTTTGTAATAACGTGGTCCGCATGTGTATAAATAATCCCTGTAACACAAAAGCTCAAGCTTCAGACACCTCTAACCACTGTTTCTAACAGTTTTTTCTACTTTTGGCTCTGTATGATGTCATGGAGACAGAATGTCCCTAATTTGGTCATCTCAGACACAGAAGCCCCACCCACCTGCTTTTCAGATCTTTACCAGAAAGCTGTCTTATGCTACAGCGACAGTGGGTCCACTTTGCTTTTATATATGAATATACAACCAGCTGTCAACCAGTTGGGTTTAATCCCCATTGCAACCAGATGCATTGCTGAAAAATCAAAGTGACTGAAGCTAATTACAATTGTTTACCAAATGCATACAAATACAGTTCAATCAAAGCCCAACCACTGATTTCGCCTATTGACAGGAGGTTTCTGCCGTCTTTTAACTTCAGTGTGGCTGAGGCATTAGCAGGAGGGTGGTCTTAAAAGGACAACAGCTGAAGTAATTTGTTTCAGACAGACAATGAACTGGCGGGACCGAGGCTCATTAGATAAATAAAATAAACAAGATGAACAAAAAATATTTTAAACTGTGATTCACACAAAGCTACCCAAGTAGAATCTAAGAATAAAACTATGCAGTTGGAAGTGAGCATCATAGGTCCACTATACTACGCTGTACATCTGTTGTCAATTTCGTGTTCCTTTCTTCAAGCCTGAGTAATCATTCACAAACCTCACAGCTTGCATAATGGCTCATAAGTCATCAGCAGGTTTATAAATATTTCTAACATGTATTAAACACATATTGATCTTTTGTCTCGATTGCTTTGAAACAGTGATTTCATTAACCCAATCAAAGCATTAAATGGCTGATTAACCATAATTCTAGTCAATCAATATTTTTGTCTCACTTTTCTTGCAGAAACCAGTAATGACCCAGGGCTCATGAGGAGGAGGCTGAGTGTTATCTGACTGACAAGTCTTTCAGTTATTACATAATTCTTTACACACTGGAACTGAGCAGCAAAACATGAACTATTCACAAAAGGCGTGTTTTTGTTCTTTGAAACAAATGCATTTGAACTGACACGTGGCAACCAACAAACGGAGATCAGAGATCAATCAGTTATCTTTTCCTGACCATAGTGCAGTAGTTTATGTTGCCTAGACATAACAATGTAGTTTTGGAAATTTAACCAGAATCCAAATTAAATCCCTTTAAAGCTGGAGAAACATGACTTTGTGTACATATGAATAAGAATCTTAAATATGAGATCAGACTGATGAAAAATCTTGTTCATGAAATTCATGTGCGGTTACACGGAAGTATATAAAATTTCACGAGGAACTTAGAAATTGCCGTACGACTATGTTGGTTTAGGTTTCCCACATAAATTGCAGAATTTGTCAAATGAGCAGTGGAACAGTGGGTCTTCTAATCTTCTTACATTTATCTTTAAAAGGTGTGTTTTTGATATCGCTGTTGTTTTACAGGGCTAAATCAAATAAAGTATGTTACACGTGACATGCACTAACATCTGCCTCTAAGTATAAACATTTACAGAATTTGTATACACTAACATGCAAGTTAACACATGCATTTGCCTTAATGCGCAAAAGCACTGATTGTACTAATCTGGAATTTATAACTGGCTAATTCATCGTTGTGGATAAACCGAAATATGCATTGCGTGCTTTAAATGCAGTTTCAGCAAAGAGAATCAAGCCAGTGAAAAAGAGGTGCAAATCCGAACTGTAAATCAGTTTGAATTAGTCTGAAATTTTCACACACACAAAAAAACATATAGATAAATCTATATTTTTTATATATTTTTAAAAGTTCTATTATTAATAATCTACGGTGTGTTGGAAAGTTTAATTGATTGTAAAATTAAACTGATGTCACAGTGAGAAGAGCAGGTCTGATGTGATTGTTTTATAATATATGACATTTATGTAAGTTAATGAATAAAAATGTATATGGAATATATAGAAGTACACACTATATGCATTATGGTGTTGGAAAATATTTTTATATTGGATGAATAAATCATGCACATTCATTTTTAACTAAATCTTTGAAATCAATATTTTTATGTAATCTCAGCATATATGGAAAAATTAATAACAAGTGCAATTAAATATGCATCTTTTTTGTCTTTGAGGAGTTATAGTGAGTGAGAGAAGTCAAAACATTGTACTGCTTGTCAGATTTCAAGGTTTTTATGATAAGTTGGAATTTCAATCATTCACTAATTTGTCACTTATTGTAAAATTTTAGCTGGAGCATCTTTGTTGACCATAATTTATAGGTTCAACATTATCGTGTATTCAATAACATCTGAAACTAAACACATCAGAAGAGTGTTTACTGAGATCGTAGATAAAGAATGAATGCTCACTTGCTTATAGTGGACTATACAGTTGGGTTTCTGCTTGTATCCAGAAGAGCCGGCTCCCTGCTGGACTTTAGAAGGAATGTGGGTTGACTTTGATTTCACGTTTCAAACTTGGAAGCTATGTCCATCTTCTATATACAGTCTGCAAGGAGAGATTACTCGCCTAGCTTGGACTAGCTAAATATTGATACTATATTCCAATTAAGCTAACTGATCCCCAGAAGTCCTACACACTGCCCTTTCAGTTGAATTTATCCAAACCTTTGAAAACAGCAGTGTTTATTTATAGGCTGTACAATGACATGTCTTCGGAGATGACAAAGAATGTATCCATGATGTAATGATAAACTGGGTGTGCACTGTGTAAATAAATGCATATGCTTTTATAAAGGGCTGGAGACTGAACGATGCGAGGAGGTTCACAGCCTGTGAGCTTCACAGTCACAGAATTGCTTTACTTTATGTATTACAGTTTAAGATCACCATTTGTAGCCACTGGAGAGAGAAACTGACAACACGTATTTATTTGACTTTTTTATTGATTTGATTTATTTACTTTTCTGAATCACCATAAAGATTGTTTCAAGCCTGTGTTAAATTATCACTTTAATTGAAATTATTTGCATCACTGGTCTTATTAAATTATTTACAAGCTAAACTGTTGTTTTCTGTCCTTTTTTAGATTATTGTATCAAGCAGCAGCTTTCATATCAGTATAATCCAATCAAAACCTTAACAAGTCACACCTTTGCTGTTGGTTCAGAGCTTTTTCATAGTGCCTCTTTGTTAACTGAATCTCCAGGGAAGGTTTTATCTCTGCGCTATGGAAAGAACAATTTAAATAGAAATATACAACAATCCCACATTTAAACATTGCATTAACTTTGTATATTTGTATATTTTTGATTAACTTCATGACATCTAAGTTAAAATAATAAAAAGCACTAAATAACCAGTAACAAAAAGCTTGGTAAGACTATAGCAGCTCATTAAAATAGATTATGACAAAACAAAATAGCTCAATTAGGTTCAACCCAAAAAAGCTCAACTAAACAGAACAAAAGACAATATAACTTTTAACTAAAATTCTAGATGCAATAAAATAAAATGTCTATGTAGCATTTGATTTTTTTTTTTTTTTTTTAAAAAGATCAACTGTGGGCTCCAACAGAAGAAAAACCTCCAAGCTGATTGTTGTGTTGACTGAAAGCTGTGCTGCCATTCTTGCACGTGCATGCACTACATATTCTTCCTGAAAGGTGGGTGACATCAGCATATCAACATACCGCTGCCCCTCCTGCTGCATATAAAGAAATGATGACACAGCTGATAAACTGGCACCCGGAGAGACCCAGACCTGAGAAGCACAACCCCTTTATAGATCAGGTGAGAAGAATCTGAACACTTTCTCTTGTAGTCTTATTTCAAGCCATAAATTTATTTTTCTTGCCTTTCCTGCCCAGACAAAGTCCTACACCTGTTTGCGTCAGCTGACTCTTACAGGGACGTAGCAAAGCAACCACTGAAGTTTGGTTCTGCAGGTCAACATGTTTCGAAACGGTAAGTCTTCACATGTGTTCAGTATCTCTATTATGCCTTTCAGTTGCAAAACCAAACTGAGGATTGTTTGGCTCTGCAGTAATGCAACCATGTGATTAAGACAAAGTAGAGCCAGAGAGTCTGAGTAAGAGAAAAACGGGGGGAAAACTGCTTAAGCATCAGATGTGTTATTTTTGACTGATTCAATCTGCTGATTACATTGTTTGCTCTCCTTGATCCAGAGTTTACTCGTTCTTCATGCTGTTTTCAAACAACAGTAGAAAACCAGTTATGCCATTCGCTTTGAGGCCATGGAGTAATTAAACTTAATCTAAAGTTGGCTGTGGAAACTTTGATTGAATTTCCATAATATGCAGCAGTGCAGCTCAATCAGTAATTATATTTTCCATTTGTGTCAAGTGATGCTTCTTTGTATAACCAACAAATTGACAAACCCAGCATAACGGTACATGTGTGCTTTTTTTTCTGCTGCAGATGGAGCTAAAATGAGGGTGTGTGTGATGCTGTTTGTTGTCTTGCTGTTGAATGGAACTCTGAGTGAATCTCAGAGAGATGGCTCTGTCATTATTAGAGGTAAGGGTTCCCCTAACTACCCTTATCAATTGTTATTTATCCATGACTTTTTATTATTTCTGCTTTTCTTTGTTCTTATTTGATTTAAATTTCCATGTTTGTCAGTCAAAAAAGCTACTTTGTAAACCATAGAATCATTTTGGAATCTTGTCGAGAAAAATATATATGCATTTAAAGCAGTACAGAGGTTAGAGTTGCAGTTAGAGGAAGGCAAGCGGAGACTATGATACATCCCTAACCCCTGCAAAGAAAATTAAAATCAATAAATAAAATAAAGTACAAATAAATCGTCCTTCACAAACTGGACCAGATTAAAACATACCACTCTCACAGCCTCTTGCTGCATTTTTCTTGGCTGTAGAAATATATAAATGTTATTGCTACTATACTTAACTCTATTTACAATTTGCTAACAGTGACAATTAGTTTCTTAACTTAAATATCTTGGCTGTGGAGGTTACTAAGAGAGTGGTCCTCTGTACTCTCAAAACACTGCTCAAAACTGAAGTCAGAGCAGGGAAAGCAGAGACAGCAGCAGGTTTTTCTAACATGCTAGTGTCCCATCAGTCTCCCATCAAAAGCCAGATTTTTATCTACAATGCGCAAACAGCTAGAAAAAGCTGCTGGCCTCACAAGTTGACAAGCTACGGACATTGTTAAGAAGACACAGAGATGCCTGTGAGATGCCTACCCTATAGAGATTTCATTCACTCCGTAATCAAGCTGAATTTATTCAGCTTCCAGAGACAACAGCCAGCTGTGGTCACAAGGTGGCAGTGATGTAAAGAGTGGATCCAAACAGACATGGGAGAAGCATTATGACAGAAACCTGTCTGACATGAAAGGAGAGATATGTTCACTTCATTTTTGTATTTCACTTAAAAAGCAGTGCTTGCCCTGCTTAACCTGATTGAACACCACTGAATTAACACACTATGATGTAGCGGTAAGAAGCACAAGGAAATGTGTGCAAAAATAAGTCCTACTATTAGAAATGCACAAGTCTAAGATCTGTCTTACAGATCAAGTACAATCATCCCCATATCTGACAATCTTGTAAACATCCAACTGGCAAGTTTCACGTAGGGTACTGATTTCAGCTGCTTTAGCCTTGCAACAGTTGCTGCATATTTCCTTTGCGACCCACCTCCACCACAGCTCCTGGAGTTGATGCTGCATTTTTCCAATGCCTCGTATCTGTTGTCATTGAAGAGCAGGAAAGTCCAAGAATAGAACTATACCACCATATAAATTACTAGATGTGGAAATATCATTCTTTTTATGACAGTTTGGCCCTGACTAAAATATATTAGTGCTGCCAGAGTTAATCTCGTTAAAATGACGTCAACGCCACATTAACGCGGCAAATCTCCGTTAGCGAGTTTGTGCGGATCACCCCGTGCCAGGGGCTGCACGGCGCTAATGCGTTTTACATGCTAACAACACTAACGCATTGATGCCATGCAGCGTTTAACGAGATTAATGCTGACAGCACTCATTTTTGCAGAAGTAAAAAAAAATCTGAATGGAGTCTAGTAAGTTGACAGATTGGAATAGGGATGGTGAGCTACTGTAATATTCCATATTTCACACTACAACGCTGTCAAGAACAGAGTAACTGTAATCTCTCTTTTTCTTAACTTAACATCAGACAATACATCAAGCCTGTCTGACCTGCTCAAGTGGTCTATTTCTGATGGTGTTGGTAATTTCAGTGGCAGTAAGAGCAAAATTTATTCAGACATTAAAAAGTTGTCAGTCTGAGGCAAAGACTGAATGTCAGTTGTCTCTGCAGTAATCTCCAATAAACAAGTGTGTACCCAGTTTACAGTAATTGAATTCAGTTTGTATTTACATGCGCCATAGCGGTGGAGTTTCAGTTGCTTTTATAGAGAGAATGGGACATGATGATATGATGATTTAAAAAAATATTTAAATGTCAATTTAACCAAAAACAGAAACAAAAAAATATGAACAATGTTTTATTTATTTTTATCCAGTGTTTTTATTTTTCAAATAGCCTTTTCTATGCTAAAAGACTACAAAAAACATATAAATTTTGCTTTGCAAATGAACGTTCAAGAAACAATCATAGATCCAAAACATTTGACAAAATATGTTTTGTGCAATCTTCAGTGTGACTCTTTCTGAATGAGATCCAGCCACTCATATAACAATCTGGCATAGTTTTAGCATGTTCCTTTCCAGCCTTCTTAAACTGTGACATGTGCCACATTTTAAGGTTTAAGCAATTATTCTCGAGCGTCATAGTTTTTTGTTTGGGGACTTGTGAAATTCAAATTGATTTTCTTCAGCTTGTCATCTGTCTTTTTTTTCTCTTTTGTTTTTGCATCTGTGTTGCTCAGATCCAGACATCAGTGCCTCCTGGTACACAGGCAGGGGGATCAGACCCCTTGGGAGATTTGGTCGAAAAGCTGCAAGAAGAAATGAACTTCTGGCTTTCATCACAGCGAGAGTTTATAGACCAACAGCTGACAGTGGCGTTTGGATCACACAATGAGAACACTGTGGATCATTGAATAGCTGCTATGCTCTCATTTTTTTAGGTTAAGTAATGGAATTGGTCTTAGATTTAGGAGTTTTCTAACATTACATTCAGTTATTTTCTGTAAATTCTGTATAAATAATTTGTTTTCTGCTCTACAAGCATGGGGATAAAAGAACATATGTAAGAAAAGCAGCATGTAAAGTTGAAAGTGTTACAATTAAAGGAATCCATGAATTAATGGAACATATATTCTGACCTCTGAGACTGAAAAGGTTTGATCAATAATGAAATTGTTTGTTTTATGAATTATCATAAAACAAACAATTTCATTGTTGACAGAAATGCTCCAACAAGAACTGACAACAAAACTGGATGAAGGCACCGTGTAATACAGATACTCTTCATACAGTGGCTTGCAAAAGCATTCGGCCCCCTTGAACTTTTCCACACTTTGTCACATTACAGCCACAAACATGAATCAATTTTATTGGAATTCCACGTGAAAGACCAACACAAAGTGGTGTACACGTGAGAAGTGGAACAAAAATCATACATGATTCCAAACATTTTTTACAAATAAATAACTGAAAAGTGGGGTGTGCGTAATTATTCAGCCCCCTTTGGTCTGAGTGCAGTCAGTTGCTCATAGACACTGCCTGATGAGTTCTAATGTCTAAATAGAGTGCAGCTGTGTGTAATCTAATGTCAGTACAAATACAGCTGCTCTGTGATGGCCTCAGAGGTTGTCTATGAGAATATTGGGAGCAACAACACCATGAAGTCCAAAGAACACACCAGACCGGTCAGGGATAAAGGTATTGAGAAATTTAAAGCAGACTTAGGCTACAAAAAGATTTCCCAAGCCTCGAACATCCCACGGAGCACTGTTCAAGTGATCATCCAGAAATGGAAGGAGTATGGCACAACTGTAAACATACCAAGACAAGGCCATCCACCTAAACTCACAGGCTGAACAAGGAGAGCGTTGATCAGAAATGCAGCCAAGAGGCCCATGGTGACTCTGGACGAGCTGCAGAGATCTACAGCTCAGGTGGGGGAATCTGCCCATAGGACAACTATTAGTCGTGCACTGCACAAAGTTGGCCTTTATGGAAGAGTGGCAAGAAGAAAGCCATTGTTAACAGAAAACCATAAGAAGTCCCGTTTGCAGTTTGCCACAAGCCATGTGGGGGACACAGCAAACATGTGGAAGATGGTGCTCTGGTCAGATGAGACCAAAATTGAACTTTTTGGCCAAAATGCAAAACGCTCTGTGTGGCGGAAAACTAACACTGCACATCACTCTGAACACACCATCCCCACTGTCAAATATGGTGGTGGCAGCATCATGCTCTGGGGGTGCTTCTCTTCAGCAGGGACAGGGAAGCTGGTGAGAGTTGATGGGAAGATGGATGGAGCCAAATACAGGGCAATCTTGGAAGAAAACCTCTTGGAGTCTGCAAAAGACTTGAGACGGGGGCAAAGGTTCACCTTCCAGCAGGACAACGACCCTGAACATAAAGCCAGGGCAACAATGGAATGGTTTATCACAAAACATAGACAAGATCTAAATCCAATTGAGAATCTGTGGCAAGATCTGAAAACTGCTGTTCACAAACACTGTCCATCTAATTTGACTGAGCTGGAGCTGTTTTGCAAAGAAGAATAGGCAAGGATTTCAGTGTCTAGATGTGCAAAGCTGGTAGAGACAGACCCTAAAAGACTGGCAGCTGTAATTGCAGCAAAAGGTGGTTCTAAAAGTACTGACTCAGGGGGCTGAATAATTACGCACACCCCACTTTTCAGTTATTTATTTGTAAAAAATGTTTGGAATCATGTATGATTTTCATTCCACTTCTCACGTGTACACCACTTTGTATTGGTCTTTCACATAGAATTCCAATAAAATTGATTCATGTTTGTGGCTGTAATGTGACGAAAAGTTCAAGGGGGCCGAATACTTTTGCAAGCCACTGTAGATAACTAATGGCATCCAAGGCAACAGTTGCATGAGAGAAAGAGCAAGCAACCACCTGACAGCATTACCTTAAGTCACCCAAAACAGGTTATACACACACACACACACACACAGGATTCTATTGGGTTTAAATGGCATTTCTAGTGTGTGTTTTAGCATTTAAAAAATAATAATAATAATAATGGGAATACATAATGTGTAAATTCTTTGTGAGTTTGCAAAAATGGAAATATAATGTGGCAGTTTTTCTTTGGAGGCTGGTAAATCATGACTTCAACCACTCAGCTAACCTATTCATGCCACACTTCTGAACTTTAGCCAGTTTCTTAACAATGGTTTCTGGCATAAAGAGGAATGCTTCCCCTAGGTCGGCTCTGGCAAGTCGTGATAGCAGACCAACAGAAAGCAGCCAACCTTGAAATGATACTAAAGTGCAGTTACTGTTAAAGCAGATCTTTTTAATTACTCAGTGATTTGCAGAATGACTTTGCACAACAAAGAGCCCTGGTTCCATTACACAACTTCTGTACAGCTTTGGCACAAAGGCAATTCAGCTCACTGCATTCTTGATTTAATCACTAGTGAACCTTTGTCCACATCTTCACCACTGAGCATAGGCTTAGTGTTGTTTATTGCTCAAAAGTTTCAAATGAAGAAAAGTTTGGCTAAGATCACAAGAAAATGTAGAAAACATCTGCAAATATGAAACAAAGGAGGATTTATACACTAAATCACAATACAAATGACGACTAAATCATCCTAGTTTTATTTTCCCTCTATTTCATCTCCTCTGCGTGAGGCATTTTTTTTGTTTCTGTGAACTAAAGAACTGGGCCAGGGCTCTGTCAGAAGTCCTACAGAAGCTTGGTTTCAATCAGCATTAAATAGCCTCATTTATACTGAAGATTTATCATTTTAAATCACTAAGCAGTAAAAAGTCCAAATTTGAAGCCAGCATGTGGAGAAAAACTGCTGTGTTTGTGTGAAGAAAACACAGAAGAATGTTATGCAAGAGCAAGTGACTTAATCCAGGAGAGAAAAGTTGCTTTATGGGGCTGTCCGAATACCACCAGCAACATTATTTTGTTGAATGCATTTGGGAGTCTTTTAAATCTTTAATTCTATTGTTTGTTTTTATTATTGATTGTTGGATAATTTAATCCACAAACCTTGGTTCAGCTGAGGAGAGGAAAAAATAAGGGTCCATGTGCAAGTCTTAGTTAAGATTAGCCAGCTGAATCCATAAAAAGCTAAACTAAAAACAACACACTGAGCAACTACCAGACAAGTGACAGAGAGTGAAGCCTAGTGTACTCCCAGCATGGATGCAGCTTGAGCCGAAAAGTCCGCTTTTCTGAGTTTAATTAGAAGTGCTATGGGGGTCCGTGTTGGCTAACACTTTTCAAGTTTTCACACCTCTAATTTTAAGTCCATAATTTTTTTAACGCTACTAACTTGTTTATTTGTGCTGTAAAGTTGGACATTTTAACATGGGACTGATGGGGACTGAGACTGACTGCTGGATCCTCAGGTGATCCTTAGAGTATCTGTAGTTTTTATTTTTTTATTTTTTTAGCAATGACTTCATCTTGCAGTTTATTAAATTGGAGGTGGGGGACGCGGGGGTGTCAGTCTCTCCTTGCTTATCAATAAAAGTCACCAGCCTACATTGATTTGTAATGTATGATTTTAGAGTGTCTGCTCTCAGGATGAGGTATGGAAAGAACAGAAAATAAGCTCATTTGCAGTAAATATTAATTGTGTCACTTGGAAGTTTCTTCAGTGTTAAAGTGATTCATTCACCCTGCAACATTCAAAGTTTTAAATTACTGGAATATTGTACTTCATAATACTGTAATAATTACCTCTATTGTGCAAACCACACTCAAATGAACTGTGCTGGGGGATCTCCATTCCAGTGTGATTGCATGCCAAAAGTAACCAGGCAAGAAAACACAGAGTGGAGGCAATCAGTGCCAGTTCAACATCTGGCACGCAGACAGGCTGAGGGGGTTTACTGCCTGCTGGAGGCTGATCCCAAGCCCACTGAGAAGAATCAGAAGAACCAGTTTACTGAATATGACAGTGAAATAAAACAAACTGAGACTGTATTCTTGTGTTCATCTTAGGCATGTTTCAGGATAAACAGCATTTTGTGCTCCTAACCAGAGTCAGAATCAAAAAAGGAAGAGGACCACAAATTCCAAAATCCACAAGCATTTTATTGTCATGTTACGTATCCCATCTTTGAAATAATTAAGACAAACAGAAAGACACAACAGAAACAGGCAGCCAAGCCACTGGCAGTCATACAGCTTAAGGTCCAACTTTGCAGCAGGATGAAAACAGATTGAACGAGTCTCTGTGCTGCAGCTCCACACTCGGCATCTCCTCCCACTCTGTCAGACCTCCCTGCTGTGCTCCAATGCACTCGAACACTCTGTGGGCTGAATCAGAGCTCTTTTACCACAGACATGAAACTCACAGCTGTATTATATTACAGCGGGAACATGCAGACATTTCAGAGACCAGACTTTGAAAGAAAAAAGGCAAAGAAAACTTAAACCTCTGACCTGGACTTATGTAATATTTAATAGTTCTCATACTGCAAGTTAGTGCCTCATGTTGGTATCTACTGCCATCTACTGTCCTTTCTTAGGATACTAGGATATTTATGTTTAAAATTTTAATCCTAATACTTATTATTAGTAAGGCTTCCTGTGAAAAAACACAGCAGGAATCTTTCCAGTGTTTCTTTTTTCTTACCTACGGATTGCAGCAGCTCGGTGACTTGCTCTCCAGAGAGGGCTGAGGTCTCAGTGAAGTACAAGCCCTTGTTACTGGCTAGACTTTGTCCTTCCTGGAGGAAGAAATCAGAACTGCTCATCACTGAGTTGGACTCTCTTTACATGTGACTCTGTGCAGGTAATAAGATTACAGGAGCGTGCTTGTCTTTGTCTGTATACCTCCAGTGGCACTTGCCGATTGTGAGCCAAATCTCCTTTGTTGCCTACCAGCCATATAACAGTAGATCCTGGTATGTACTGTTTCTCGAGCTCTTTGAGCCACACCTGAGCTCTGACAAATGTTTCCTATGATGACACAAGCATGCTCAAGAACAAGACATAAAGAGAAAACCAGTCGAGATAAATCATTTCATAGTCAGGTGTGTCTTCGTTTTACCCTTTGCGTGATATCATAGACCAAAAGTGCTACGTGGGCTCCCCTGTAGTACAGCGGAGTGACGCTGTGGTATTTTTCCTGGCCTGCCGTGTCCCAGATTTCAAAGCGAAGAGTGGCATTACTCAGACGCACCAACTGGGTGAGGTAAGCACCTGGAGGAATAAACACCAAAGGAGTGGGTGTGTGAAATTAGAAAAATTGTATTTACATTATTATCATGATTATTACTGAAGTCTGAAACTTTGTGAAAGCTGTAAATTTTTAA